GTAAAGACAAATAAACAGAATATTTAATTAATAAGATTACTGTTATGCAGGATATGTAGCAATAATGTCATAGCATTAAGTGTTGTATTATAGTTAATATGTATTTTTATAACTAGTTCAATGACCGCTGAATAATACAAACGTGAGGTGGAACTTTTACTGAGGTTAAGTTGAAAGTATAATAATGTAATTTTGTACAATAATAGAGTACAATATTATAGCTGTATTTTCAAAGAGCCTCGTTGTAATAGACTTGTAGTTTTATATAAAATAATACATAATAATAGTATTACTATTACGGAAATTGAAAAATTATATGTGTTCATAAAATTTAGCCATTTTTATAGATCTTGGAATTCAATTTCAAAAGTCGAATCCCCTGTTACTATACTTGAACTATTGAAAGAGAAGTTATTCCGAAGTAGAATAGATTTCAAAAATGCTTTTTCCTATTTGAAGTTATGTTACAGAAGTTTCGTGGAACCATAAAACCAAGCGCCAGAACAAATGTCTTATGATCAATCGGGAGCGTACTGGTTTTGTAACAAGTGGGGTCGAGAATACAGACATTGTGGCACCGGACGGGGGATACTTAATTCGTTTAAGCAACATATTTTCATGATATTTGATTTGCTCTCCGAAACCGTCTAGACAGACAGGAACATTCAACTATTTCTGTTATCTTACGGAAAGACATAGTCATTCCACTAAACAACATTTCTAGTTTACACAGTATCTCAATGAAGAGTCAATAGTAACAATCATTATAAAAAAACTTCAGTTCCTACTACAATTATTGTCAATATTTTGTACGTCCTTTTTACTTTTTTTAACTGACCATTAGAAATATAAACAGATTTCTGATGGCTTAATGGTACAACGCAACAATTTTTAATCACTTTTGTGGTCTATATTTCTATAAAACTAAAGAAAATAATGTTTTAAAAAACAGTATGCAATATTTGTTAATGAATTTCTACCGCATAGTTATAATCACTGCTACAAATCCTTAAAAAGATCTCGCTAACATAACTATCAAACTTTCCGACAAGGGTTGTTTTCGTTACAAACTCCTGAAATCTGACGAATTCATCCGTTCGATAAAAATCTGAACCTCTCGATCGCTATCATTAAAATTCCATAAAAACAAAACTGTGTTCTCCGAAAGAAACTTCTTAGGGCCAATCGGATGTGTATTGGTTACACACGAAATGGAGGGGGCGTAGAGAAAGACTCAGTGGGCACCGGGCGACGACCAGTCTGGCTTCATAATTATTCCTGGACAAAACATGATGCTATTGATGTATCCAGGATCGCGAATTTCAGCTGACAGTACCAAAGCAAACATGTGTTGGTACTAGGAGGGATGGGTTTTAAGGGTAGGGTAGGGCGCCCTCCGGCTTGGCGACCGACGAGCAACCGCCGCGTCCCACCCCCGTCGTGACGGTGCCACGATGCCAACAGAAGAAGTATTCTTGCATTGGTCCGACGTCGTGGTCGTCGTCGACAACGTCGTCGTCGTCTTCGTCGTCGTCGTGTCGTCGGTCGCCCAACAGCGGCGGCGACGGTGTCGGCGACGACGCTCCACGGTTGGCGTCGAGGTTAGCGCCGGCCGGTCGCTGGAATCGGCGCCCGGCTGTCTCTTTCTCCCTTTCCCGTCTCACTCCATGGGTTCGTCGTCATCGTCGTCCGTCTGCACGGGAGAGAGCGGCCGTCGTTTCGTCCTCCGTTCGACGGCGACGACATGGCTCTGCTGGCTGTCGCCATCCGCCCCGTTTCTGTATATCACCCTTCCCTGTTTTTTCTTTCTACGCCACTCTGTCGATATATTCGACGATGATATGTGTAGATAATGAAAGTATCTATTCCCCCCCCCCCTAACCACTCCTGAAAAATGTTCAGTTCGATGTTTACCTGGGGCCTCTCGTGATCATCGATGTAGAAAATACATTGGCTCTGGAACACTACGCGTGTCGCGTCTCTCCTATGTTCGACGCACCGTGCGCGTTAAACACGCATTCAACTCACTATTACAGGTGAACAGAGAGGACAGACTCTCCTTGGGCTTCGAAGATGTAAATTGCAGAGCCTACGAATCCGGCGATGATTAATCGTGACGTTTGTTCATCGAGTTTGTCTTCGGTCTTCGTACGGTTTTTCATTGTTAAAATCGAGTTTTGGAATATTTCTTTTTTGGGTACAATGAGAAGGAAACGCGACTTCTTTTTTATTTCATCTGAACGAGGCGATTTGATTTGTGTAAAGCAGTTGATGATGTTGCATAAATAATATAGTTTGTCGAAGATATTTCGTTAACCTTATTCGAGGCAGTAAAATTTTAGTTTTTGAAAATAAAATTTATTTCTGTATAGTTCGATTATTCTGCTATGATAGATGATTTGCTAATCTTATCATCACTCGCGACGGCTTATGACGGTATTTCAAAGTTACTGGAACTTTCCACGAACTTCGGCGTATTCTTTCGACCGAATATATTAAGATATTAACCCTTTACTCCCTGGATGTGGCCCTCGGGCAGTAGCATTTTAGTGGTCTATATCGACCATGGCCACCCGTGAGCTAGCGAGGTTAAATCTCAAAGAGACTGCAGTGAATATTTAATGCAACGTGCACAACAATAAATATCAATCTCTTTCGATTGATTTTATTGCTACAGTTATACAATAAATTTGTTGTAGCACCGTAGAACAAAAACGCAAAATTTATGTCTCTTAGTCAATTTTTTTCTACATATATTGAACATACAAAAGATTGTTTTATCGGAGGCTTAAAATATTTCCGGAGTATTATACTACAAAAGAGTCCTCCAACAGTGTACAGTGACGCTCTAAAGTTTAGGAATACCAATTAAAATACAAGATTCCAACTGCGTTAATAATAACTCCTATAAAATATTCCTGAATCATGGGACAATATAACAAATTACCTCCATTTGATCATATTGCAATATCGTAACGGATGTATGATAAATTGTTTTGCAAGGAACAGCGAACATTATCGTAAAACAACAACTTCGCCACTTTTCAGACAGCCCCCCATTTTCCATCGTGCGGAAGCGGCGTTCTCCAAGCCGGCTTTTTAGGTAATTATATTTCAGGCTCTGCGGAGTCAGAAATCATTGCGCTCGATGGGTAGGGTAGGAAAAGGGAGAGATTGAAAGAAAAGCCTTTGCCAAACGGCAAGAGAGTCGAGCCAGCGAAAGTTTCGCTCGATTGGTTGTGTCGACTGGGTCCTTCTCGCCGAAGAAGAGCCGGGCGTCCGAAACGGCTCTGTCTCGACGCCGCTGCTGGCGGCTCCTATACGTGGTTCCCTCTGATCTCTTTCCTCGTCTTTCCCCCCATCGCAGTCCACGCCAGTCTCGGTCCATCCTGGCGTCCCTTAACTCAGACCATTATCCGTATACCACGATTATAGGGCAACGGGACCGACAAACAGGCTTGGGCCAGACCCCCTGGCACCCTCATCGCAACCTCTCCTCATCCCTCCTCCCTTTTCTCTTCATCCTTCCGTCTGGCCACGGTACAAACCCGTCACTGACTACGCAAACAAACCCGCGCATCGACTAACATAACTTAACAATCTTCCTCTGCCTGCTCTTCTCCGCTCTATTGTCATACTTTCCGTCCCTCTATGGTCCACCACTATCTATCACACACGCAGTTGTTACCACAGAACCGATTCCACCGCGATGCACCGCGCGATGCTCCACGGGACCATCACCATCCAGTATCGGTCGGCATCGCTGCACGCTCGCCTTTGGGCTCCTCATACTTTTTTTTCTTTCTTTATCTTGCCCAGAAAACGACGCCACGCATTATAGAAACGATACTTCTAGCAAATTATTATGGTTTTGCCAGTAGTTCTTGATAATTGTTTTTCGGGCGGGGCTTGTGTCTGGACCGTATAATGGACCGGTTTCTCGAGCGTTTTAGTTCTACGATGCTCTCGGCTCCCCCGGAACACGGATTCGCCGCTTTTTTTGCTGCGTTTCGAGCCGTGTTCCACTCGGCTTGGGATATATACATGGGTGCATGTTCATTTTTAGTGACGGGATCTGATCTTGTAGGTTGCAAATGAACCCTTTCTTGTGTTGAAAGAGTCGTTCGATTCGATGTTTCAAGCAATGTTAATTGAAACGGTTTCGGTACGGCGAAGTATTTGTTAATTAATTCTTTATTGTTATTCGTAGTCACAGATATAACTTTCGACAACAACAATCATTTTCGAAATGTCAATTTGTAACTTTAAAGGAGTTTTTTTTAAACTTACTTTTTCAGGCATCTGGCACAAGTTGTGAAGACGAATAGAGGGATTTATTTCAAACTTGGCATACGATGAAATAAATGTCTCTCTTTTACAGTGGCCTAGGATCATTGAGATATCTTAATATTGGGGTACTTTTTTGAAGCTGCAAAATGGAAAAAAAATTACCATCTTATCAAAATACAGCCATTTTATCAATTTTTAATATGTTATTTAAACTTTGTTTTAAACTAGAAGGATGATATCTCTGTAGTTGTTTTCAATAGTTGTTTTCTAAAAAATTCTAAAGTTACTCATACTTTCCTGTGTATCTCCACGGAAGTACACTTTTAAACAGAGTAATTGTTCTATAAAAAGTTAATAGACCATGTCAACTTCCAATTATGTATCCCGTCATGCACCAGGTGCGACGCAGTAACCTCAAAGAACACCTACGCCGCGACAGATCCGCCGGTAAAGAAATTCTCGAGGCTGCCTGCAGAAATCAGTATCGACAGGAACTTAACCTCTTCGTCGCGACACAAACGTGATACGAACGTACTGAATTATCATAGATTATTGTGAAGTCGAGTAATCGTTTTTCCGAGTCACTTGGATTACTCATTAATTTCGTCTTACGCAACGGGCTGCCTGCTGTTATTAATAATAACGATAAGATTATATACTTCCATTTGGTCACGTTGCGCTGTAACGTAGGCGAAACAGCGCGTAACGATGCCGCGGGTCGTGTTGAGGACGACGAGCGTAGGCCACGTACGGACTAGATCGTTCGTACATTAGTTTCTCGACTATCAAAGCGGCCCACGGTCACGCGGTGAAGTGTGTACACGTTATCTAAACCTGTCGGTTCCGTTGCATATTCGTTGGCAGTCCGCTGCTCGTTCCTCGATTTCGTCGCATTGCGTGTCACGTCCACGGTTGAAATATGGGCGCAGCTTCGAACGCGACATACTTAGGGCTCGATCTCAGCACGCAGCAGGTAAAATTTCTGTAAAAAAAACCGTCATTGCTTTCCGATCTGCTTTTCATCCGCACGTCCAAACGTCCCTTTCGAATGAGTTATCTGCGACACGTACGACACGCTTTCTCATCGAACAAAAAAAAAAGCTTATGGTGGACGCGGGTTCATGGATGACAATGTCGGGCATTTATGGCTCATTACCTCCGTTCCTCTCGCCATTTATTTCTGTTTCCGATTTTTTCCATCCTGTTTCACCAGCTTCGCTCACTACGTGGAAGCGGTAGCATTCTGTTAGTAGCTGGAACGAAGTTTATTTCTTTTGTGTTTTAACTGTGGCTCGGTCAGTGGTTGCTGCCGCGCATGCGCCTTGCAACGCGCGCTCGTTTGAATCGACGAAATTTGCATATACGTGAAAACATTCTTTTAGTGGAAAGTATTGTAATTACCTGCACTTGTAATGAGCCAGGCCTCTTCATTAAAATTGATGAGTGTATAACGTGTATGTGAATAAAATTAACAAATTCTTTTTATGAACGTTAATTACCCTAGATGAAAGTGAATGGTTACGTTCTTTTTTTCGACATGTTTGGAATATATACTTTAATGAAGAATTAAACTTGCTTATCGCACAACAGTAATTTAACTTTTCAACCTTGTTTCCTTTCCTAAATTCTAGTGTTTGTAACAGAACATTGAGCCTTATCTTTTTTTACACAAATAGTAGCAACCGTTTGCTTCAGCTCAATCCATTGTGTATCCTCTTGTTTTTTTTTAATATTTTGTAGAATTACAAGTTTTGTTATCGAAAATAAATTAGTCAACTAATTGGTGTTAATAAATACAGATAGCAATCCCATCGGTGAGGTTAATTTGTTTGTCTCTTTTAGAATTTAAAACGAAAATATGATAAAATCGACAAATTTACAAGCTTGTCCACAAATATCGTTGCTTCTTAAAGAGTTTATAGACAAACCTTTATGGAATTATCTGCTTAGTAGCTGCTACGATAAATATTGTTATATAACTCTGGTTAACAGACAACCGTTTGGTTTATAAGTTCAGAAAAGTTACACTGATGTACTTAATTCGTTCGTTAAAGAATGATGGAAATCATGGTTTCGGAGAAATCGTTTTAAACTCTTCTCTACCCACGTGCCTACATTGTTTTTCTACAACTTCGTTGTGGCAAAAAATTTAGCATAAAATTACAGTAAGTATTTTTGAAATATCGAATTTCAAGAGAATGTAATAAAAGAATTGATTTTTTTTTTCACTTCTCCAAATGGGAATATATTCTTGAAAATTCTACGTTTAATCCGTTACCGGCCACCGTAGCTCACTGCAACTCGCATAAATCTTTGAAAAACGATGAACACATCTCTGCCGATTGATACCAAGCGTTTCGAGGCGTGTAACTTGCGTACACGCTGGGTCACAATTATCTAACGCGATGATAACACCGAGCAGAGGAAGAATACAAGCGAAAGAAAATTGTATCTTTTCGGCAGGAAAAACACGGAACATCAGATACGAGTTGAATGGACACAATTAACTCTGAGATGATATACATATTTTCGAGGCCATCAATTGGTACTTGATGTGTCTTAAATGAATAATTTACTCGTAAGAATTTATCTATAGACTTTTTATTGCCCACAAGAATTAAAAATGAACGTTTCCGTTTCGGGTCAAGTTGACCCTGAACAATACACAAGGATTAAAAAGAAACCATTTTGTGATTTATATGTGAATTTATCAGGTATACCAATAAGCAATCTACTACGTTTTTTAATTACGAGACGATGTATTAGGCCGTTGCACATGAAATGAGTGATTTTACTGATACGCATACTTGATGTTACTTTTATGAATGAATATTATTAACATAGCTTCTTTTTTAATTGCAAAATTACACAATGTACTCTACTCGTTTTAAGGTGTTATCTAACACAATAATAAAATCACTTATGTCAAACACTACAATTAATTAAGGTAGAGAATCAATTCCAGTTAAATTCCACCATTTCATTCGCGTGAATTACAAGCCAAATTCAGAAATAAACTTGATAAGGATGCATGTAAGTTTCTGCTAAAAAAATACCACATATTTAGCGATGACAACATTCCATGGAAACATGGTAGCTAAAAGTGTCATTGAAGAGTCATCTTCAAATTCAGTATATAATAATTATGTAATAAATATAACACATTCGAATACATAAAATTGCTGAAAGTAATTAATTTTCATTGGAGGCGATTTTCGTTTAACCATTCCATCAGATCGAACGTAACTCAACCGCTAAAAAGGATCAACGGTTTTGCATAAGCTCCGGGCGATTACGAACGTCAAAATATTTCACGCTTCTTATTCGATTAAATATACAACGATTGCATATTAAAACGGCACGTGGAGAAGACTGCATGCCCAAAACACAGTTTATTTTGCATATTCATTCTCTCTGGTGCTCGAAAAAAATAACGTTTCGAATTTAAAATTTTGCGAATTAAATTTAGAATACGCTACAGGTAGCCCAGGCTGATTGACCGCTACGGGCCGGGAATTGTTTTTCTCCTGCAAGCAACCATTCCCATGGTTGCATGTAATTTATTCGATCCGAGTCTAATAAATCAAAGATCCGTCTGTAATACGAATTTAGTGACGCAAGCGGGTGATTAACGGATATCTTTGACGCGTTGTAGTTGAAAGCGGTGGTCGTCGATAATGATCTCACCGTTCTCTGCGAGACCAGTGTACAATTCGACAATGATCTGCCGGAGTTTAGGTATGTTTCTTATTACGTTCTAACATCATTTTATATGTTAACATTAGAACTACCAAACCCGTCAAAACGAACGATTTCAGATTTCTGACTTCACAGTAACTGAAATTGTACAAGTAGTTGTGTCAGAGTTTACGATGACCTTTAAATGATTATACACTTTATATTATACTATAATGTGTTCTACTGTATTACATACTGTATATATTAATGTATTGTAAAATTTAATTTAGTATGTATGCAAAACTGGTAGTTCTAGTGTTAAACAAATCGAGTGTAAACACTTTGTCTACAAAAATCTGCCTATTAAAGTCCAAATATGAATTTACTACTAGACACTGATGTACTGGAGCAAACTGAAAGAAAGTTACTTTATTATTTACCGAAATACATGTATTATATGTGGAAATGAAGGGAGACTATGTTACAAAAATAATAAAATGTTTTTTGCTCTAATAAATCAGGTGTGAACTTTATTTATTTAATAACATTTATAAGATAATAAATTCTGTATGCCTTCATGATTAGAAGGTAATAAAATGAGCTAAAATAATCTTTTTTTAGTAACAGTTTTTGTGTATAATTTTTTAAATTTAAGGAAATTCGTATATTTATATTTATCAGAACATGAGACCACACGAATAGATTTTATTGGCTACGCCAATGCGCATTAATAATATTGAAGGTTTAAAGATACAATGAATATATTTTTTCTGAAAGACAATATTTCTGTGATAATAAAAAGTTTTTAATAACTTTTCTAAAATGGAGTCGTACATATCTAATAATTCTTAGAAACCCTTAAAATATGAAATCAACTTTTTCAATTAACGATTTAAATATTTAATGCATTTCACCACAATTACATTATTTATGCTAGAGATTCATATTTTACGGTTTTAATGTACACTTTGTCTATAATTGTTATTGAATAAATACGAAGAGTTTTGGCCGAACAAAAATCCTATTAATAAGCATTTAATCATTTTTAGAACGTACGGAGGGGTTATTCAAAAGAAAGAAGAACCACACGTGGTGGTTGCTCCCACTTTGATGTGGGTTAAGGCTCTAGACATGATCCTTGAGAAATTACGCGTCTGTGGCGTTGATTTTAGCAAAGTGGCCGCTATTTCCGGATGCGCACAGGTAAAAAAAAATACTGGACAACGAATGCCTCAAAAATAAACATTATACAAAAATCTTCAGAAAATATGAATTTGTTTCTATTTATAAAAGAGAATCATTTGGGAAATTATATTAAAATTTGTTTAAATATGTTTATATGAAAAAATCCGCTCAACTCATCACTAATGATTTCTACAATTTATCTTTACTAGAACAGTTTTCTAAGAATAATTCTGAAATTAAATTGAAATATTGAAAAAAAATATTTTTTGATTATTATACATATGATCGTTTTCATTAATATTTCACTTTGTATAAATAATTGTAACAATAGACGTTATTCTGATACGAAAAATGTATGGCCTTCGGAGTGTTTTGCAGATATTTAATTTAATATATTATCTTTAACCAAAACATCTAGTTTACGGTACAAGTTATGAACTAAATCAAATATGCTGCTACAATCTCATTGGTAACTTTCCCTTCTCCCTTCTAATGAGTTTTCAAAAAAATATTACATACTATTATTGTGGATATAAATTTTTTTTTATAATATTGCTTATTATAAAAGATGTATAATATAATATAAAAAGAGTTAGTTATTTTAAATATGCAAACAAATTTCTAAAGTACACGTGGATCAAAAATTAGTTACCATTACTTTTATATACAATGCATCCTACTAACATGTCGAGTAACTTCGTCGTAGTTTTCAAATTTCTTTCGGTCCTAACGCTATCCTCACGTACAATCCGATCGTCCAATGACAGCTGGTGAAAACAAAATTTAAAGAAGATGTAAATGTCTGTCGCGATTGTCTCGTTTGTTCCGGTCTGTATCGACGAAAATTTTGCAATACCCCCAGGACCCTTACAAACTCGAAGATTTAGCCGCGCGCGGTTTTAAAAGACCCGACACGATAATGTTATCTTTGCTCGTAATTGCACAGCAACATGGCACAGTTTACTGGGGCAAGGGCAGTCGAAATCACTTGCAGCAATTGGATCCCGCAAAATTCTTGCACGAGCAGCTCGTCACGTCGTTCTCGGTGACGCCGTCACCTGTATGGATGGATTCCAGCACCACCAATGAATGCAATATCTTGGATGAGATCATGGGTGGTCCTCAAGTGAGTAATTTTATTAGAAAATAAATAATTGAGTTCCTAAACAAAAACTTCCATTTCTATATTCTTTCTAATTACACTCGATCAAAGGTGCTCGATTGATCTCTTCCCGCTGTTTTAATAATTTTATGTAATAAAAAAGGTACATACAAATTCTACACCAATTATTTATGCATAGTAACATCTAAATATAAATTAGTTTAATAGTTCAGTGTTAATTTTTGGTCAATATTAATCAATAATAATTATTTGATTATTGCACAAGGGTTACATAAATTAGCGTAATACAATATCACCCTAATATTCGAGAGAAGCCTTCTAAATATTATTTAGATAATGATTCAATCATTAAATTATACTAAATATATATCCCAAAGAAAATTAAAAATTGGTACATTTCTATGTTAACCACTTGACGCATAAGTTTTACTTCAGTCTACCGGTAGAAAATGATCAATTTCTTTTTGGTATAAATTTATAGTCTGACGGGATTGTATCATGTTTTCTTCCTTTTTAAGTGGTATACGAAGTACTTTTCACAGAACAGAGAAAGAGAAGAGCAAGATGCAGTATAAACACATATTTGATAATAATAAAAAACAATTCAAAACGTAAATGGGTGTGATAGTTTAAGTATCAACGAGTAATCCACTATTTCTCTTATGAGATAATAATTTAGATTTAATACATTTTCCTGTATTTCTGCTTACTAAAAATATCCCAAGATGAAGAATGAACTACGATGAAACCTCCAACAATGAATTATTCCATATTTTATGAATAACCAAAAATATGTATCATTCTCTCAAAGATTTCTTCAAATACGTCAATATTATAATATATTCCATTTCTCTGGCGTCTATACAACAGTGTCATCTATTAATACTTCTAATACTGATATAAATAATTCATACAGTAATCAAGCTGATTCTGAATTAAATGTTTTCAGCGGTACAAATAGTAACTTAATCGTATTTGAAAGATCGATATCAGTATTCATTATATTCATTCAGGAATTTGCGAAAATATACACGTGCCATTCTTCGGAAGCGTTGAAACGTAACCAACGTATGAATATTCATCGGTGACGAAGAATTAATTTACAATTTACATTCGTTGCAATTCCGGGCCAATGGTATTTTTCCTACCTACGAAATATCCTCGATCGTGTCGAGAAACAATATTTTTTTAAACGTCGCTCGATGGCTGGAATGGTAACCGAAAAAAAGGGTAAAAGGGTACCGTTTCGTTAACCCGCTCGGTATTTTTAGACCCGTCAGGTTCTAGTCGGACGGGACACGTCGAGAAACGCTCGCCTGGACCTGACCTTTATACAATTAATCAAATATTTCATTGATTTTATTGGTCAGGATCGATAATAAAGATGCTTGTAATTAGTGGCCGCGAAATGTCGTTGGAATGTTACGCCACGCATATCAAGCTGAAAACATTTAATTAACACTGATGAAATTATACACATATGTATTAACGTTATTATTGCAGATATAGTAACGTTCATAAATTTGATACACCCATTATTTTCTAAATTCTTGTCACACGTGGACTTGAAAGCCAGGTGGATAATGCATGTTCCGCTTCTATTTATGGAATTGAATACCATTGAACACTAGAACGCAGTCAGAACGACTGGTTTGTAAATTATTAAAATTATTAAAAGTTTTTAATGGCAGTGCATTTTTTGAGATACTTCGCAACTTTTCTTTCAATGTGTGAGTAAAGGAGTTTATTGAATTCACATAATAGATTTATATATTTTCAACAAGCTGTCCTTTTTACCAATGTGATAGAAACAAAGATAGTCCTAGTGTTAACACTGTTTTAATTTAAAGCATACATATGTGTGTAATAAATTCATCGCAAGAAATATCTAAGAAAACTTTCCCAAACATGTAATAATTTTAATAAGACAGGAATTTTTACACTAAAAGTATTCATTTATCTAAAAAAAATTGGGGATATCCTAAAAAAGTAGAATAAAAGTAGAATAAGAGTTGTTACAGGCTTTATTTAGAAATAATGTTATTTTCCCAAATTTGTTATTAGGACCAACGCTTGCCAATGTATGAAAGTAATATGCTTATTCAACAAAATATTGGTTGAACATAAAATTCTTGAGTTTTCTTTCCCATTCTGCCAAATGTGAAGAATTGTTTGAAGAATTTAAATGTGCTTTTTAAAAACTATATATAATATTCATCAGTTGGGAATTACCAACATGTCTTTGTAAGAGGATTTTGTGCACTTTTCACGTTCCATACATGGAGCTGAACGTTTGACTAGTCAGTAAAAGAAACGAATATCATTTATAATTGATCCTCCTAAACTGTATATAAAATTTATTGCATGAGTGCGGTCGTTACTTGTTTCTTAGCACTCCTTACTTTCGTTGTAACTTGTTAATAAAGTATTTATATATCTATGTTCATATGACAGTCTCGTCTGTGTTTTGGCTACAGAACACACCCTGGTCAATTCGTACAGAACCCTGTACATTATAATTTAGCGTAGGACCATAGCAAAAAGAAAGAAAAGTTATGGCGAAAATCAGTATGACTGATTCATAATTAATTAATGAGCTAATCAATTATTCTGATGCGGTATCTGTGGGTACGTGGTTGCAGAAATTAGCGGAGATAACGGGATCTCGGGCGTACGAGAGATTCTCAGGACCTCAGATAGCGAAAATAGCGCGCAGGAGGCCTGAAGCCTACAGTAACACTGAGGTATATCTACTAAAACACTCCTGGCTTCATTGAAAAAATGAGAACGGCAATCGATCGAGGTATTCGATATGTGTAGATATGTTGGTACAGATTGTATGAGTTTTATGTGGCCTCCGATGCTTATTACTTTAACACCAGTATTCGAATTGACGCGTGTTATGAAAGCGAATGACTGCTCGTTTGAACAATTTCTTATACTGCGTGTCAACTGGAGAACGTAACTACTTCCGAGAGCAGGATTCGCTAGTGGAGAGATTTGAGAACAAGTTTTCGGATAGCTGTCACTTCTGATCTCAAGAGTATAACTCGCTAGTGTTTATTCACGAGTAGACATAAATTAGAGGCTACTCTTGAAACTTTCGAGATTACCGCCATCTGGGCATATGGCATAACTCTTACGAGTTATTCTCATCTGGATACGTGGAATGATTCTCGATAGTTATTCTCGCGTGGATATGTAACATAATCTTTCAGTGTTACTCTCACGTGGGCATATAACATTACTTTTCAGAGTTAGTTTTATGTGAACACGTAGCATAATTCTTGATGGTTGCTCTCACGTGGATACGTACCATAATTCTTTATGGTTGCTCTCCCGTGGATACGTAGCATAATTCTGAATACTTATTCTCACGTGGACACGTAACGTAATTCGTGATGGTTACTCTCACGTGGTTATGTAGCATATCTCGATAGTTATTCTCACGTGGACACGTAGCATAACTTTCAAGAGTTCCTCTCAAGTGGACACGCAGCATTAGTATCCAGGCTGATTGGAGCTGTGTCGTTGAAACCAATTACGAGTACAGAATAATAACTCACTTTTAGTGATTACTTACAAGTATGCATTGACACTGTGTGAAAGATTTGTCTAAAATGCGAGTTTTATCTATTTGTTATGAAAAATACGAAACAATTTATCTGTTCCACATGTATAAATGTTTATAATTTTTTCTTCTTTGTTGTAATTCCATGTCTAAAAGTGAATTCTATTTCAAAACCAATTATTTTCAAAATTAATATTGAATAAAAAGTTTTCTTTTCTAGCAAATTATATACACTCTTTACAGTTTCATATTTGAGCAGACTCAGAGATAAAACTTTCTTGCATACACTAATGCTTTGCACATTTTTAAATTAAAATACCAGTCTCATTAATACTCTTATTGCAAAAAGCTATAAGTACTAATGTATGAAATATTTTTGAATTTCGTTTTGAAACATGCATGTATGAATGCAAAATGAAACATAGGAATATGGAGTATTAAAAACTAAGTACAGTAGAAGCTCGTTTATTGCAGCCCAGAAATACTACAATAAGTGAGCTTCAATCACCCGCGCGTTTTCCCCGCCAATCGTCCGTTTACTTGTTTGACATAGCTACATATAGGGTGGACTGGATGTACGTACTTTTTAATCACCTTAGTATCTCCGTTATTTTTGGAAATATCAAAAAAGTTTCTTCACAAAAGTTATTGAGTATTGAAACATTTTATTAAAACAATATTATATATACCACAATTTGTGGGGGGTACGCCCGTGGGTACATTAAAATAGCCTACAATACACGAACGTCTACTGTACACAGTTTTCTTCAATCTTGAATAGAAATTTTGCTCATGTTCCTAGAATCTGTTTGCTTTGAACAAAAGATTGTGAATGATCTCAGTAGATACTAATGAGATAATTTTTTGATAACAATATTATAATTCAATCCATATAGAAATGTATGAAATATTTATGAATATAAATAGACTTTCTAAAAAATACTTTTTTAGACACAGTACTAAGTATTACAAGATTCTCGATCCAATGTTTAACGATTTTAAAATAGCTGAAATGAAGAACATTGGAAACCAACATTTGTTATACAACAATCTAATAAAAAAACTATCTATATAATAATATTATACACGGACATATAATAATATTTTCATTACTAATTTGTACCCTCTGCTGCCAACTATTTGTAAATGTATTCTGTATTTAACAGACTTTTCTGTAACTTTCAGAGAATCTCTTTGATTAGCAGTTTTCTTGCTTCCTTGTTTTTGGGCGACTTTGCGCCCATTGACTGGTCTGATGGATCTGGAATGAATTTGTTAAACATTCACACGAAGGATTGGGACGACGTACTTTTAGAGGTAAATTATCCATTTTGCGTACTTCTTTGCCCGTATACAGCAACAAATATAATACAACAATTTATACATTTTTGTTACATTCACGATAATTAGATTGCGAATTTTATTCACTTATAGCACACGTGAGTATCTAAAACGCAATTTGATCAAAATTGCATAACGTTTAATAAAAGTTATTTTTTTTATATTTAACCAACTAATTGTCCGAAAGCAGAGCTGCGTCCATTTTCACGCACATTTTCATTAAAATACACTGTTGACCAATTAGATCTAAATTAAAATTATCTTTGAATTTTTCAACAGAAATTTGGAGTATTTAGTCAGAACGAATAGCCAGTAAATAAATAAATAGCATTTTCATACTATTACGGTATATTTCTTATATAATTAAACTATATATATATATATGAAAAATAGAAGTTTACCTTTCAAAAATTAACACTACTACAATACTTTAAAAGTTGATCGAGGATAAAATTAAATACGTAAGTTCATATTAAAAAATTTAACCATGTGTAAAAAATGACCCAATACTGCTTTTTTCTAACAATCAAAGATTTCGTCATTCAGCTATCTAACATAACAAAAATCGATAACACTAGACTACCAGCGTTGAATGTATACTAAATAAAATTGTATAATCTGTTGATACGAATAACATATAATATAATGTAAAATGTATAATAAATTAAAAATCAACATAATGTTCGGCAAAAGCACCTTTATGATTTCTGTAATTGTGAACTAAGAAATTTAAAATGCGTCATTATAATGGGTTTGGTGGTTCTAGTGTAAAAAAATGAGCCTGCTTATTAAAAAATGTTTATTTTTTGTTTGTCTTCTATTATTTATTGGTAAATTATTGTTTGCTCAGACTTGCGGGCCAGGTTTAAAAGAAAAACTCGGTAAACCTGTTTCCTCCTGTAGCAATATCGGACCGATTTCATCCTATTTCGTAGAAAGATTCGGCTTCGACGAGGCATGCCGGATAATTGCATTCACGGGGGACAATTCTGGTTCTCTAATTGGTAAGCATACAACGACTAGATTGATAATTCTACAGTCTCGATACGAACTTACATATTTTTTTTTGGTTTTATTATATCTGACAGTATTAATTTATGCGCACTACTTCTCTTTCTGACGGCAAGCTATGATTCTGCGTGTTTAGTCGCTCATGAATATTCACGTCAACCTGTAAATACGTATCCAATTCCTCAACTTTCGCTCTTATGCAAAGTAATTAATGAGACTTTACATCTATACTATAATTTAGCTCTGTTGGAGATTTTACGTGATCTCGTAGTCATTTCGTGTTTTTTTTTGTCGTAATTTATAATAACCCATGTGGAAAATATTACTTGAATTTGAAGGTAATTTTGAATTTAATTTTAATTTACATCGATCGATAAATTAATTCGTTGTAAACGGATAGTGTATTCGGCATTTTGAATTTCATTTTATCAATTACTGTATCGTCTATAGTCTATAAATATCACATCCGTTGGTTCAAGAACATCAAATTCAAATTTCTGGAATTACCGTTCGCTATCGGCAAAGATCGACCGGTTCATATTTTTTGTATTTTTGTTTATGCAATGGTATATTAAAAATAACAAGTCGCAAATGCGTGAGTACGTTTCTGTGTAAAAAAACGAGACGTGATATATGAAACAACTTTTGTTCTTTACAATTTGTATACGTCAAACAAAATGGATCCGGAATAAATAATATTGTACTATACTTTGATACAGCTTAATGTATAAAGACAAATGTCAATTTACTAAAGGCTATATTTCATTTATGAAAATGCTTATTTTTGAATTTATTAGTCAGTTACAAAGACTATAACAAATTTTTGTAAAAATAAAAGAGTAGATAAAGAAGTATTTTTATACCTGTTTAATAATGTACAGGAATGAGACTAAAGGAGGGAGATGTCGCCTGTAGTTTAGGAACAAGCGATACTCTTTTCTTGTGGTTAAACAAGCCGAAAACTGCTTTAGAAGGCCACATATTTTGTAATCCCATTGATGACAATGCTTACATGGCACTGCTTTGGTAAGTTAAAATTTTAAGAAAAACGATCTTCAAATTTTTATATAAAAGATTGTGATATTCTTACATGATGAAGATGCAAAAAAGCTTTACGAATATCATTAAAAATATTACGAAAAATATTTCATTGGTCTACATACATTTTTACAATAATAGTCTACAAAATTATCCATTATACAATGTATTCGTAATATTATCGATAACAAATATTATAGGATATGAAACACGATGCATGTTTGTATCAGCAACTTACAACAAAGTGCAAAGCTTCGAAAACTGGAAGTTTATTCATTCAATCAGTATGATAAATATTCAAGTGATTTTCAAAGAACAATTGGAAATTTTCAGCTTCAAAAATGGATCTCTGACGCGTGAAAGAATACGCGACAGTGCGGCGCAAGGCTCCTGGCAAATTTTTAATGAGCTACTAGAGAGCACCCCGCGCGGTAATTTTGGGAATTTAGGTTTATATTTTGACGCACAAGAAATCTTGCCCTCAATCATCGGCGATCATAGATTCAATAAAGCCAACGACGAAATATCACGATACAGCTCGAAAGAGGTCGAAGTACGAGCTTTAATCGAGGGCCAATTCGTCGCGAAAAGGGCGCATGCCGAAGATTTTGGTTTCGTTATTGGTAATAATAATGTACTAAAATTTTGTAATTTTTCAAAAAAAAGTTCAATTTATGTAAGCTGTATTCTCTGCAACATGAAAAAGAATCACGTTTGAACATTGCCTTTTGTCTAGCTGACACCAATGTGAATGTAAAATTAATTTAAAAACTTTGTTTAAAATTCAAACTTTTTATATAACGATTTCCAAACAATAACTTAAACCGTAAACGGTGGAAAATAATTATATTAAGTATTATATGATTCGTACTCCAAGTAGAATTAAACAGTCAATTGTTAATCGTAAATCATTTTCCACAAAGATACTGCAAACCCTAAAAGAAATCCTATCATTTTATTTGTAAAATTTTCAACTATCAGAAATTTAGGCACAATTGCTTTACTGATCATTATTCTTAGGTCCGAACACTCGCATTATTGCTACAGGAGGTGCCTCTGCAAATAAAGCCATATTGCAAGTAATATCTGACGTGTTCAATTCACCAGTGTATATATCGGTAATACTTTTCTTACCTTTACATTAAAATATAACTTAACGCGAAAGGCTATTTTAATTCGAAAAATATTTACATTCATTCTATCAGTCGCATAGCCGTTGACTTTGAATACATTACACTAATCTCTCATTTTTTCAATTTCCATCTCGTCTTTTACTTAATTATGATTAAATTTCTATAGGAAGTAGCAAATTCAGCCGTGATGGGCGCAGCCTACCAGGCAAAATATGCTTTGTCACGAAATGAATCCACCTTTGACGAAATAACACGTTGTCTGCCTGAGCCAAAACTTATATGTCGTCCATACAACGATGCAGATTCAGTAAGTAACAGAAAATACAGAAAAGTATAGTTACTGAGTTTAAAGGCCTGATACAGTTACGTTAGTTTTTATCTAGATTTATGAGATCATCGTTTCTTTTCTAGAGTTTATGCTCATAAGTCGGTCTATATTCAGTATTCTACAAAATTGTCACTTATGTTTCTGTTTCTTTCTAGATATACAGATCTATGGTTGTTCGTTATCGTAAGATAGTGGAGCAAATTATTAATAAAGCGAGTATAAATTAATATATGTAAAGTGTGACCATACGCCACAGAAAAAATGATTAAACAAAGGGGCCTTCACATTACATAATATTAGTAGGAGATAGAAAATCAATTATGCATTTAATACATATTTTAATTGAATGATATGTACCGAATTCTGTTCTAATACGTGATAAGTTTTTTACGACAATTTTTAAGCTATTTCTAGAAGCTTGCTTTTATAATGAAAATAATAAAATCTCAATCAATCTTAATGAGTTACTCACCGATAACGGACAAATTTATGAATAAATTTGTCTATTTACGAATAATATTTATGAATAAATTGGCCGAGAATCTCTTACCGTAAAAATACAAAAGCATTGCTTTTTAGAAGCAATTAAAAATAACTGCGATACAAACATATTACGATAAAAATATAGGTAAACGTATTTTTCAAGTGCTGTTTTAACTCCTCGACGCATAATCTAGTTAATTACAAATCATTAATGTCTTATGGATAAAAGTACAAGATAAAACTATGTGCAATTTTTTAAATGAAATCTTATTTCATAAAAAGTTACTTTTATATATTTATATTTATAAATTTTATTATATTACATTAATTTATTAAATCTAATTTATTACAATTATAAAAAACAACAAAAATTGTAATAAAAGTTGAACTTTAGTTTAATTATAGACGTGTTTTATTTACCTTAAATGATTGCACCACTTATTACTAAGCTTTAATATTCTCTTTCAAACTTTGTAGGCTAAATTAATATTTATATACAGGTAATGTAAAACGTCAGATTTAACTAACAGTAAATAATAATGTTACATAAATAAATAATGTTAAACCATAGAAAATGCAAGTATATACTTTTTTCTTTTATTTCTTTCTACTACCTTTTTCCTTGAGTAGAAGATTGATTATATTATCGGATGTTACATTATAGTATGCAAGAGTATTGCTATCATTGAAAAACATTCCCTAAAACCAAAAATTTGTAATATTGATATAGCGTGACAAATAAAACATTCAGAATATACTTAACCAGTTAATTGCATTCGACGTGTATACACGTCAATCCAAAACTTTATTTCGGTGCGGTTGACGTGTATACTCGTCGTGGAAAATAAAAAATTACCATTTACTACAAAAACTCCAAATTTCAATAAAAGTAATAAAAATGTCATTTAGTGGTATGTTTCCTTCATATTACCAATAAAACTGCTAAGTATTATATAAAAAAAAATTTGATTTATTCTCTTTGATATATTGTTTATTCCCTGTACAATGTATTGCTTTTTACGGGTATTCCCTGAATTGTTTTGTATAAAGTGCGTTGCTCAGAAGAATAAATGTATTAATTAAATTTTTTTTTAATGTTTGAATCTTATTATTTTTGGACACTTTTTAAGTTTTTAGTAAAAATAACCTTTTCAACAATGAACTGTTAATTTTTTATCGAATCAAAACATAATCCTTCCTCATTTTGCTTTACATTTTTCGTAAAATTTATAATAGGAGCATTTTCCCTGCATTCGATGTCTATACTCATCATAGCTTGATTTTAATTATGCATTCCATGAGGGATTTTTAAAACTAAATTCCGCAGTTAACTGGTTAATCCATCTTACCTCATATTGTAACTTCTGTTTACCAGGAGGCATTCCAGTTTGTTTGTGTATAAGAGCTTTCATTGTTGCCACAGTGTCGCTCCCTTGTAAAGTAATATTTAATATCTGGCCATGCAACTTCCATTCTGCTTTCTCTGCCATCATTGGTACAGCTATGCTCAATTGAACAGGACCCTGCAGTAATAAAACATAATTTCATGGCGTATTTGTAAAAACACTTTAAAACCCGTTAATTATCAAAATGTAATGTATACCTTATTCCTAGCCAAGAACTGCTGCTCGGGTATTAATGAATCTTCTGTTCTTAATTTCTTAGTCTGAGATTCTTCTTCCGTAGGTTCAGTAGTATGCTTCAATCCAATCTAAAGGATGAATAAAATCGTACATGAATTTTTGTACAGTAAACAAATAATATTTTACAATATAAATATTTAACACGTACTTTTGTCATTAACAAATTTTCAGTCAAAATTAATCTAACACTTTCTCGATTAATGTTTAGTTTTTCCGCTATCATTCTTGTAGTTAACCGCTTGTCACTTCGAACAAGATCACGCACACGAGCAATGTTTTCGTCCTGTCGAGTCGTGGAAGGGCGTCCTGAACGCTCAGCATCTTCGACGGATTCACGTCCTTCTCGAAACCGTTTTGCCCAATCGAAAACGCGTGGTTTCGACATGGTATTATTTCCATAAACTCTGGATAACTTTTCATAAATCTCCGTTGACGATTCACCATTTTTCACCAAAAATTTTATCACAATTCTTTGCTCTAAATTGCGTTCCATTTTTCACATAACATAAAACTTAAACACGTTCTTACACGACTAGCACAGGACTAATAGTGACTTCACACTTGACAATGTTTACCTTTCGCATGCAAATAGCATCAAGCAGACTCACAGCGGGGGGCGACGTAAGGTAGGTCGGGTAGGTTCCATTAACGACCACTACATCCGCGCCCATGCCGCGGGAATTTACCGTTTTACTTACTTGTAAGCGTCGCGGGCGAAAAGTGCACTGGAACAGAGTTTTTAAAAACCACAAAAACCACGGGCGTTGCAGGTGATTTAGGCCTTAGTAGATCACAACCCTAATATCAAATGTATTTTCGTAATCCGATTTTTTGAGGCCCTAGAGCCTCATTATCATTTTAATGCCATGCCCACCGTTATTGAAAAGCCACGAAATCCGAGTATTGTTAACATGAATTCAGAGTTATACGATTATTCAAGTTACATGTGCTTAATACAGTTGGACGGAAACAAGCATATGTATTGTCTTGGACGAAAGTTTAAAAGATCAATAACATTCGTAAAACATGACGTGCGTAAATATATATTTTGTAAATATACATATATTAAAAAGAACCTTTGGGCTTGTTTTGTCGCAATTCTCTTAAAAATTGTACATGAGAGTATTCCTTCTTCTTCTTCTATATACTTATACATAGTATTTCTACACCAATTGTAACATTTTTTCACACTGAAAGATGTTGAAATGCCATTTCTCTACTTCGAAGCTGTACACTATTAATTGTGAGTAGGTATCATAATACTCAGATCGTCTCACACGAGACCTCGCCTCGAATCATGCAGTGAGGTAAGTCTCTGTTTACGAGACGCTTTATTTATGATTAAATTTTTATAGGAAATAGCAAATTCAGCTATGATGAGCTTATTTATATATTTACAAATGTTATTATATTACATCAATTTATTAAATCGTAATTTATTACAACTAGAAAACACAAAAAAAAATGGAAATTTAGTTTAATTAAAGATGTGTTTTATTCATATTAAATAATTATACCACAAATGCTCTCTTCCAGATTGTGCAGTTCAGATTAAAATTCTATTTATGCATAGGTAATGTAAAACCATAGAAAATGCAATTACATATTTTTCAGTTTTACTTCTTTCTACCACCTCTTTCCTTCGGTAGAAGATTAATAACATTACCGGATGTTAAATTATAGTACGCAAGAGTATTGCTATCTTTGAAAAACATTCCCTAAAATGAAAAATACGGATTATTGGATATAACGTGACAAATGAAACTTTCAGAGTGTACTTATTGTCAGAATATATATCCGTCTTACCTCATACTGCAACTTCTGTTTACCAGGAGGCATTCCGGTTTGTTCGTGTAAAAGAGCTTTCATCGTTGCCACAGTGTCGCTCACTTGTAAAGTAATATTTAATGTCTGACCATTCAACTTCCATTCTGCTTTCTCTGCCATCATTGGTACAGCTATGCTCAATTGAACAGGACCCTGCAATAATAAAACATATAATTTCATGGCATATTTGTAAAAACACTTTAAAACCCGTTAATTATCAAAATGTAATGTATACCTTATTCCTAGCCAAGAACTGCTGCTCGGGTATTAATGAATCTTCTGTTCTTAATTTCTTAGTCTGAGGTTCTTCGTCCATAGGTTCAGTAGGATGTTTCATTCCAATCTGTTAGATATATAAAATATTACATCAATTTTTTTTAACAGTAATCGAATCATATTTTACAATACAAATACTTACAGCAGATGCCATTGGCGGTTGCATCGGTGGTGGAGTTGGCATAAACGGTGACATCGCAGGTGCTAAAAAAAATATTGAAACGAATATGACAAACGTAATATACCGCAAAATATTTTTCATTGTAATGTATATAATGAATTTCTTGAATTGTAGACAAAGTAATGAAGAAAAAGAAGCTTACAATTTTTCTTTTGCGCACTGCCACTTACACTATGTTAGGTACTCATTATTTTATTTAATAATTCAATGATAACTATTTTAATATGTATATATAACTATTACGTGGAAGCAAAAATAGTAACAAGGTTATGATAGAAATTACAAGTTTCAATTATAAATTTTACTTACTCATAAGAGGGGGTGGTCGAATGGGAGGCATAGGAGCCATCATCATCATCTGTGGTTGTGGCATCATTGGTTGAGGAATACCCATAGTGGGCATGCTCATGGTTGGCGGCGGTGGTGGTTGTGTAGGAACTGGTACCGGTTTCGGTGCTGGTGGTTTTGGTGGTGCCTTCAACGTAGCTTGTGGTTTCGAAGCAGCTGCCGCCATATGTGATAATTCTGCTGCACGATTTGCGGGTTTTGGCCCAATCTTTTCTTTCTCTTCATCAGGAAGAAGTCCTTTAACTTTGTGTATTTGATGAATCTGATCCTCCAAAGTAATGTTTGCTCTGGCAGCTCTAGTCGCTGCTTCGACACTCGATGTGTGTCCATCCCACGTGACCTTGTCGTCTTTCTTTTTGTCTTCCTCACCGATTTTCTTACCGATGGCGGTTTCTTCGTCACCGACACCGAAAATATCGGTACGTCGTTCGGCGAGTTGTTTCAAACTAGCCTCAATCGCAGTGCCAGGAGCGAATACTGTTTCTTGTGCTAATTTATCGAGATGTTTATCTCTTTGTTCCACCCAACGTGGATCTAACAATCCAATACGCATATGTTCTTGAACTTTACTCGCTGGAATGCGTTCTCCCGTAATTGGAGATATCAGGTATTCATCAGGAGCAACAGGACGTACAGTTTTGGTTGCTGTAAAAATTAACATATTAGCAATTGATATAATTTCATATTATGTGCATAATGTTTGATGTCCCTTGGTTACCATGCTGTTTAGGATCATATCCTTTCTTCACTACAACATTTCCTGGAGTAGGAGGCAACGGCGGAGGCTGCATATTATTACTGTCACGTGGTTTCGATTCTTTCGATTTGTGAGTATCACCTGGAGGTGACACATCATCTTCATCGCTAGAATCTTCTTCCATATCTTGTACCTTGAAATGTAAATAACATAATGAAAGTATAACAATATACCTATTGTTATAAACACGAAAACCACTGTACTCACTTGATTATTATCTTTCGCGCGATCCTTTTCACCTTCAGTACGATTTTGCATTTCATCCTCTCCTTCGCTATCGATCTGCATTTCTACATCCTCGCCGTCTTCTATTCTTTCCTAGAAAATTAAAAAGTCATTAGCACAATAAAAAATTAGTACATAGTTATTAAATAGTTAAAATTTTTCTATTAATGCTTAACTACAGTGTATTACCTGCATAAGTACTCGAGCACCAACTTCATCTGGTGTTGTTGGTGCTGGGAAATTACCAACTTCAAACTGCTGGTAATCAACAGTTTCAACCACAACAAAATCATGCCAGTCAATTTGCGCATAAGCTACTCTTTCACGTTCTAATTCTTCCTCTTCTTTACGTCTTTGAGCTTCTTGGTATTTTAACCATTCAGCACGATATTTCACTTGATCTAAAATTTTGTCCATGTTGGCTGCCTCATCTCGGAGACGTGGCAATAAATCTTTAGGTGGAATTAATACCTACAAAATGGCATTTATTTTAATAATTACTTAAGAAAAAGTTTCAGATTATTAACGTAAAATTTTATCTCACTTTTGTATATTGCTCCAAGAGTTTTGTAAAGTATTGGAACAAGGAATGCTGAGGCCGTAAGAAGTCAAACTGAAAATTCCTCTGTTCTCTGTTCATTAAATTAGTTAAAAATTGACGACCATTACGGGCTACAAATTGTGCTGTCAGTTTTACAATATCTCTAAAATAGAAAGCAAAATATTGCAATCATAATTTACATCATTGTGTATAAGTTAATACGTAAAAAATTTGATTCACATACAAATCTAAAGCTGAAATAGAAGGTGGATCAGCAATAAATTCAAATTCTATAGGTGGATCTTTTGGAACAAATGGTTGTTCAACTTGTTTTAAAATTTCTTGTTGCTTTTGATGAGCTGCTAAATTAACAGCTTTTCCCAACCCTTGTCCTAAAGTTAGTTCTTGCCCTTTGCCTTCTTTAAATTCTTTTACTTTGTGTTGGTAATACGCATGATACGGATCACCAAAGTTCAAGAAATTAAACTTTGGATTGCCAAGTTCATTTTGTCTGATCCTGGATTCAAATTCTGGTCCATTTCTGGCCACAAAACTGGCCGTCTTATCAACAATATCTAAATTTTTACATAAGGAACATTCTATGAAAAAACAGTGTGCACAGAATTTCTTTTATAAAACATATTAATAACATTATTAAACGAGGAACCTAACGAAACCTTCATTTAATTATACACATTTACAAATACACAACAATATAATATTTTTGAATCAACAATATAATTTACAAATACTACAAATAATAATAAGTTGAAAAAATTACATATTTATTATTCCTTTTTATTCGTAAAATTAGTTGCATAGTAAAAGAGTAAACACGTTTTAATATGTAGTTTATAGCAATTATAAAGTTTAAATGGATGTTGATCATTGAAAACGACAATCACTACATGATATGTTGATTGTTTAAAAAAAAGTAACATTAACAATATCTCAAATTGTGTTAAAGGATACTTCTAACCTCCGGTGGAGGGTAAATAATGCCAACGATCGGTTGCGACGAGGGTGCATTATTTTCTTCACCCTCAGTCGCTGGTGGTTGTATAACTGCAATTTCTTGTGCAGGCATGTTTGTATTACTTTGTCTACTCAATTTTCACACATTTTCCACTATTTCTTATAATTCATCGTGCAAACAATATTCAACACTGCTCAACACACATGACACACATTGCATACACTTAGTTCCTAGCCGGGATGCCAGATTTGATTGAATTTGATCCCCTCAAACCAATAATTTTTGTAGAAAATATGGGTATTGTCTCGCGTAAACGGACCATGTGCGCCATGCACACCGTGTGGCGATTATTGATACTAATCCGTGGATATAAATTCGTACACATGTACATATTTATGTTATTATGTATATATTTGCGTATAAGTGTTTAGTTACGTCGCTGCAAAATAGTACCAATAAGCGCCAACGATGTGCAAAGCGCACATGGTCCATTTACACGAGACGGGACCCATATTTTCTACAAAATTCATTCGATGGAAGGGTTAAATCTGGCATCCCTACATCAGAACTAGAGATGGAGTGAACTGCTACTTGCTGCTACTTGTGAATCACTCATGATTCGATCACGTTCGGTCCCAATCACAGTGATTTTTCACAGTGATTCGTGATTTCTCGTGTCGTTTCTGATTGGTGGAGAAACCTAACAGTTCTTTACACGCGACACATAATCTGTATATTTTATATTAACGACTTCAAAGAAAAGAATTTCTTGTTTTTTTCTACTGATGTTTTTCAAACACAAATAGTAATGTAATTCATCGTATAATTATATTGCATACGTTTTTCTGTTTAAAGATCAAGGACTTACGATCGCAGCGAGCAAATTCACTCAAGATAAAAAAATCGCAATCACGGTCGTAAATGAAGTTAAATCACGACCGTGATCATGATTCGGTGATCATTGTGATAAATCACTGTTAGTGATTTTGCACGCCATCTCTAACTGAAACCGTTTTATAATTTGATTATTTGCCTGCTCCGGGGGTTGTGTGACCCGACGATCCCACCACACGGGGTCTCTGGCGCTTCGTGCGGGGGTTCTATGACCCCACGCTCCACCACACGGGGTCTTTGGCGCCACCCTCGGGGGCTCTGTGACCCCACGGTTTAACACACGGATCTCTGGCGCCACCTGCGGGGGTTCTGTGACCCCACCGTTTCCCCGCCATCTTAGATTCAGAAAAGTGCCGGAAAAATTGGAATTTATGGGACATTTAGTTGCGCCCCCACCCTTTGGTGGCGGAAATTGGAACTAATTCCAGAACTTCCAAAACTTAAAAGTTTTAGAATTAATTATTTTGTTATTATTTATTATTTCTTATTGTTTTTTTGGTTAATTAACACTGCCGGCCGCTGTCACGCTGGCGTGACTTTTGCTCGCCAACGTTTATCGGCCGGGGTCATGTACGCGCGAAATTCGCCGGCGGCAGCGAAAGGCGATGCGAGAAATAAACGGCGGGCAAAGTGTTAATATTAGGAATAGGAGTGGAGATAGTGCCGGGATTAATGAATAACGCATATGTATGATTTGACTGTTTCTTATTGAAAAAATCGTACGAAAATATACAATTTACAATAGTATTTCTATAAATTTAACAACAATTGCCTTAAATACTACTTACATACATGATTTTACAATATATTTATAATAATATTTGTATAGATTCAATAAAAGTGCCCTTAGATATTTATTTTACTTAAATCCTACTTATCTATATGATGTTACAATATACTTGTAATGATATTTATATAAATCCAGAAAAAGTAGGCTTAGATATTATTATTCAGGCTTATAAAATATTGTAACTTATATGCCGCAAATAATTCCCTCCTCTGTAACTTGCAAATCTTCCGTACCGTCTTCAAAGCTTCATAAAGGTTTCATAAGTTTGACGCCGAAATGTTGATTACCGGTGGCATACGATAGACCTGTGTAATAATTTTCAGTAGTCCTCTGCCGGATTCAATCTGTTGTTATTACATGTGGATTACGGGACAATGAACGGTAGTGAAATGGCTTGCGTCAGTACACATTTGAAACGTGATCCTTTATCGCTGTTGCTCGTACAACTCTCTAGCTCGGTTTCGACCGAGGAACAAAGGACAGTTGCTCGTGCAACTGTCGAATTGGGACTGACGCTTGTCCATGTTCCCGTGAACAAATTAGATAATAACCCCAGCAACCATGGCAGTTTCTGCAGATACTACTACAGCCCAAGTTTAAAAGACGTAGGCAGTAGTTAGTTTCTGTAGTAACCTGTTGAACCAGACAACTATAATTAGTATAGGATTGTATAATATTTATGCAGTTATATTTAAGATAATTCGATATTCAGGAATCACAAGTTCCACATCTACCCACCTTTCACAATAAACCTTATAAATAACTTAAATCTTAACTATCTAATACTATTGCTACTAAAATCCCTCGGCGGATGACTTCTTTCTTGAGCCTAAACCTATAAAAAATTAAGTTCCCTCGTCGGTTGTCTTCGTTCTTCAGCTTAGAACTAATATTATCGTAATATTCTAATTAATACGAATAAACGCTATTAATACAAAATAACTTAAACTAAACGCAACGTAGTCGCTAATACTCAAACGAAAGAGATAGACGGAATGGAAAAAGTTCCATCGATCATTTCGTTTACGCACCTAATATTCTATATACCAAGCAGTTATTAAGTCTACGATGACCTACGTTAAACTACAGTATGAACAAGTATCGCGATGCAAGTGTTGTCGCCAGAACCTGGTTTAAGAAAATAGGAAAGACGGGCGACACCTCGCTAACCCGGATCCATCTTTTACTGCCATGGAGCTTTGGGCTGGTCACCTGCGTACCAGATTAGATTAGATTAGATTATTCTCAACGTCTCCCGGGAGAGGGGAAGTGCGATTTCCCCCCCAAGGCCCAGCTGTGGCTTCTAGCGCCTGTAGCTTTCACACAGCCCCCGCCACGTTAGCAGGGGGACTGCGGTGGGCGTTACCCGGGGAGGCTATTTCCCCCGGCTTTCCAACCCGACCAACTTTTTTAGGCCCGGGCCTCATGGAGGCGAGGAAGTACTCGCCCGGGGGGCGGAGAGTCACTAGGATCGTCTCATCCCTACCTAAGTAAGTAGCGATGGAATATGGTCGTCGGGGCAACCGATCCTTCGTCTCCAAAGTGAGTACCGGCTCACTCTTTGCTTCACCCACAGACCGAGTCTGTATCAGGGGTGGAATCATCGTGCTTGCGTACATTCCGGCATCGAGAGAGAGCTGTGTCGCCTGTTTCAACCCCCTATTGCTCTACCTACCTATGTCCCGAATATTTCAGGAGCCCCCCCTCCTCTGGTTCCCCTCACAAATCTACCACCCCCCTCAAGGACAGGGAGGGAGTCCCGGGACTCCAACAGAGACACATGGGGAGGCCGTTCTAGCCGACCTCAAGGAGAGACGTGGTCGGGTTCGGCGATCACCTCCCCTGGGAGCCGC